CTCTCAGTTTTGATGCCTGTTTGTAACTGTGAAATAGTATTCCAATCACTCCCAAGTATTTCTTTTCCTATAGTACACTGCAGATATTTAGAGCTCTACCTGGTGTTTCTAATACATGGCATGCTCTTGCTGCCCAAAACATACATTTGTTGAATTAATGAATTTTAAACTTATGGAAATCCAAAAGTGCTCAAAAATATGCATAAGACAAATCTACAGAGAGACCCTTTTCCACTTCAACTATCCATCACCATCAAAGTAATTTTTATCATCAAATAAACCACATTTTTATGGTCTCCATGTCAAGGCAAATTAAATAACAGAGATAAGGACATCTTTTGCCTAGAGAGGCAAAACTTAGCTTGAATTTATACCCATAATGTGTTAATATACAGATTAGATATAGTCATACCGATTTTAACTTTGCATAATCCTTTGCAGAGATTTTGAGAATTTCACAGTTTTCTTCTGTCACCACTGAGTACTGCTTTGTTTTTGATTCAGTCTGCGCTGTAACTTCTAGGGTTCCAAAGGTACTCCATTGACCAAGCTGTAAAAATACCAAAGGCAACTTAAAGTTCATTATCACTCACAAACATAAAAGTACCAGTGAGGGTGATAGGAGCAGTCTAAGAATGCAAGAAGGAGAATTGTAAGTCAACTCCCAAATATATGGAAGAAACCAATCTAAACAGGCTTGCACGGATGTCTTATTTCTGCCCAATGTCCCTTCCCCAAAGCAAGAAAACATTTCCATTTTTCTTACTAGCATGAAGAAAATAACATAAAAATATATCTTCTGTTTTATTCATTGATTCATTTTAAGTACCAAAATAGTGCTTGGTATATACTTGTCATTCAATAAATATCTGTTGAAAGATGAAGAATGTAGTACACTTATAAACATGACCTTCTGTTTATTTTATTATCGTCACATGTTGGTAGTTGCTATATTTTTTCAATAAATATAGCAGTTTTGAAATCTGGCACCATTATAAAGCTATTTAAATGACTTACAATTCAATTTTTCTCACTTTTTTGGAAAGCATTCTTTAAGGCTATGTAGATCATCCTATTTTGTTGAAGATAGCAGGTGGAGATGCACAAAAGGAAGTTCTAAATTCACTTCTAAATTCTCATGTTATTTTACTGAAAAGTAAGTTGATAGCAAACTTTATTAGGAAGTAATGTGTTCCCCATAACTAAAATTTTTAAATCCTCTCTAATAATACATGCCCCAATCTGCCTCTGAATAATAAGAGTTGGCAGATCCAGCAAGATTTCTTTTCAATAAAAGCATCATTTTGAGATTTGTTTTAAACTGCATTTTACAAAGATGAACTTTTCTGGAAAACAGAGGACTTTTATAGGTATAATTTTTGTTCTTTCATTTTTTCCAATGCTTTTAGCTCCCACTCATTTACACATTAAGCAAGATCAATAACTAAAATTAGAACTGCTATATTTATACCAAGGAAAGGTCTTGTTCTTAACCTTGAGGAACACATTTTATTTTTTCCTAAGAGGTTAAAGAAGCAGACAGAGAAAATATAGTGCCTCTCTAAATTAGAAGTTCATAACCCATGTCCAAGGATGGAGTTTTAGAAGACTCTTAAACTCCTATTATATTATGCCACCATGTGTGATTATTTATAAATTCCCTTTTTTCTGGAACGAGTTTCTATAACCTTCATTAGATTCCCAGAGGTATCTATGTCTCCAAAGAAGGTTCAAAAACACTGTTCTGAATAGAACATATTAAATTTCCCTACGATTTTAAATAGCTTATGTAGAAAGCACAATCTTAAACAAAAAAATGTTGTACATTAAGAAAGGGATAGGAAGACGCTGCACTTTATAATCTTCAACATACTTCAGGAGGATTTGCACCACACTGAGGATATGTTGTGATCTCCAGAAGATAGAAGCAGAATCTAACTGAATGTGAGGACAGTCTGATTGGGACCTAACATCCCATTGGCTGAGAGATTGGTCTGCTTGCCTAGATGAGAGTTCCCTGGGTACATTCATTCCAAACCTGTATGCTGAGTCAACAAGGAAGATGTTTTCAATTGTAGAAAAATAATTGATATTTTAGAATTATATGAATAACGTTGTATGCTAATAAAACCTATAAATCAAGTTGATTTATAGATAAAGTCAGTAAATATCTCTTTAAAAGGGGCTAAATAAGACTTCTTATTATGTTCCTTATGCATCTTGCCAAGAAAAGTCTAAATATCATAGTGGATCAGAGAAGTAGAAGTTTTTTTTATTTCTTCTAAAACAGAGTAGTTCACTCAAACATTCTGAAGACATCTCCACCTCCACAGTTGTTCACAAGAAACACTTGACTGTAATATCTAGCACACTGCTTACATAAATTTCACCCAGTTTAAAATCCAGTTTAAGTCCCATTTTCTTTCATAAAGAAACCTGGATCACCGCATTACCTCTCAGATTTTTAAGAAATTATGTACTCTATTGCTTTGCTCTATAACATGAAATGCACCCATAAAGGGCACTCTAAAAAATTAATGACAATATATTACTATCTTAAAACTGTGAGGATAAAGAAATGTATTTCCCTCCCTCTAATACAGGGAGACTTTCAGCAACAAATGAACCTCAGTTGCACAATCATTACTTGGTGCCACTTTAAAATCAATAGTATTCTAATCAAACATCCTTAAGATTAAAAAGACCAATTGCAAAAAATTAATGTATTTTTTAGGTAAATGTTGAACTTGGTATACAGAGTTTATATGATGCCTTGCCTAATTCCACTGTGGTTACAGAACATAATCATTTGAAATCTGAGACTCAAATGTATGCTCTAGCATCAAATCAATTCTGAAAATGTTCCCCAAGCACACTTACAAGGAATGTACTTACTCTGCAATTGTTTGCAATGTTAAACAGAGGTTTGTTAAATACATTGTGCAGAATTTCTGTATCTCAGGATTTTTTTGTCTTGTTCTTTAACAGTTACTCAGTGCTGTCTATTAAAATCTCCCACTATAGTTGTGGATTTGTTTCTTCTTTTTCTCATCAACATTTACTTTATATATTTTGAGGTAATAATTTTTTAGCACACTAAATTTCACACATATCATGAAATAGCCTTCTTTAACTTGAATGATGCTTTGTGATGAAGTTTACTCTGAGTATAACCACCCCAGCCTTCTTATAGTTCATGTGATCTGGTTTGTCATCATCCCTTATTTTACTTTGCAACTTTCTGTATCTTTGATTACAAAGGATGTTAATTTTACCTACTCTGACAATCTTTGTTTATTAACTGAAGTACGTGGTCTGTTTACCTTTAATGCAATTACTGATATATTTGGGTTTAAATCTGCCATCTTAATACTTGCTATTTTTCCCATTTTTTGTGTCATTTCTTTTCCTTCGTTGCTCCATTTTAAATTAATCAAATATTATTCTATTATATCTTGTTTTAGCTTAGTATATATTCTTTTATTTATTTATTTTGGTTATTCTATTAATTACAAAATGTATCTATTTTACTAGACTGTACTCTATAAATTATTTATTCTACTTTGCAGAAAAACAAGGACTGAAAATTCTTCAAGTCCATTTATCCTATCCTCTTTCTGTTTATTTTTGATATATTTAGTTACCAGGTACATGTAGAATTCCACAGGTAAAGCACTACTTTTTACAACTAAGTAATATTTAGAATAACCACATATGCACCAACATTTTTTGTTCTTCAGTCCTTTCTACATGCTTGTACTTCAATTTGGATAATTTTATTTCTGTCTGAAGTTCTTCCTTTTGGTATTCCTTTCATTCCTTGGATTTGCAGTTCTTCTAGCAATGATATCTCTCTTTTTATTTGTCTGAACACATATTTATTTTGTCTTTATTTAAAAGGACATTTTCATTGGTTGTCAAAGGCTAGGTACCTGTTACTTTTTGTCAATACTATTAAGAATGTAATTCCATTGTGTTCTAAATAATCATCTTTTAAGATATCACTAAACTTTACCTTTGAACAAAATGTGTCCTTTCCGTCTACTTCAACTTTCAGGTTTTCTGACTGTGGCTTTCATTAGTTTGATTGTTATGTGTCCAGGTGTGACTATCTGGTTTGTAATTCATATAGCACCTTGAATCTGTTGATATCTTTCCACAGTTGGGAAAAAAAAATTATAACCAGTGCTTCTTTGGGCAATACCAAATATTGGTTCAGTCCCATTCTTAGTCCTCCCTTTTTTGGATTTTTATTATTACATGCTTGACAGAATTTTTCATCATCTTATCAATCTTATCCTTTTTATTATGGGATTTATTTGCTTGTCCTTGTCATCCCTGTATGAAGTGACAAAATCATTCTACTGAACTGCAATATGATATCCAAACCTTTTCTCACAAAAGACAGAAGGTGGAGATTCTGGCAAGGTAATCGGGAACTTCTACATAATTTAGTGCCTGCTATTGGAAAGATACTCTGAACATCCTAAATCTGGTTTTGGCTTTCTTTTCCCAAAAAACAAGAGAGATCAGATGTCAACTGCTTAACATAAGGAAGAAATTTGTAACATCCAACAGAAAATATATATATCCTCTCTCATTTTTTTCATTGTAATTAATGAGGTTGAACTATTCACACACATTAAATGCTAATGCTAATGAGAAGAATGTGAGTATTTAGCATCGATAGCTACTTTTCAGGTTACATATGACATGTGTGTGTGTGTGTCCGGTTTATTTTTCTGTCAATTAAATTCCTTTTGGAAGTTATTTTTAAAAGCTAGGAATTTTCTAGTTCATATTAAAAATATATCTAGGAAGGTAGGCAAGGGGTAGACCAGCAAAAAATAAAAGTACCTGGAGAACTCATAGGAAATGTACTCCTGATGTAAGTGTCACACTACTCACAATGCAAAGTCTCCTGAACAGCCTAGACTACTTTTTATTAGCACCTGAGCACAGCATAGCTGATAACCATGAACTAAATTTCATATGGATGTTAAGCACTTCCTCTGCATCCATTTTTCATGTTTCAAAGAAACCAACTCATGTAACACGTTCAGCCCTGACTGCAACAACAGTCTCCTTTTCTTGTTCTGTTAGATTTGGACTTCCAGCTTAATGCTAAGGATATATAACATTTTTCTCTATGTCCTCAGAAGGTACTAATTGACTAAACTGAATCCAAAGGAGTCACCCAGCATGATTCAGCACTTTCATGAATCTAATTTGGAAATACTGAATGTTGCATTCAGTCAGAGGTAGATTTCAAAAACTAAATCAATTAATTAAAAAATAACATTTTGGACAACCGAGGCCAAGATGGAGGCGTGAGTAGAGCAGCAGAAATCTCCTCCCAAAACCACATGTATTTTTGAAAGTACAACAAAGAAAACTCTTCCTAAAAGAGAGACCAGAAGACACAGGACAACATCCAGACCACATCCACACCTGCAAGAACCCAGCAACTCATGAAGGGGGTAAGATACAAGCCCCAGCCCAGCAGGAACCAAGTGCCCCACACCCCAGCTACGGACGGGAGGAGAGGAG